GCAAGATCGGGGCCGGCCTGCGCACGGGGCAGGGCCGTGCCTGGCGGGGGCCAGCTGCCACCCCCGCGAGGCCCTGGCCCGGCGTCCAAAGAGGGCCTTTAGAAGTATTTTTACCAAATGTGTCACCTGGCATTTCCATGAGGTTTGCCTGGTCCCGAAGTGCTGAGAGCCCACTCAGTCACCGAAGCCCCATGACAGGGATCGAGTGCTGAAGGTAGGACTGAGATGGAATTTAGGTACTAAAACTGGAGCCAAGCTTCCTCACACTGCTCGCTTAGTTACAGCTGACCTTGGAGGTGACTACTCTCCATAGATGCTACAGTTTCTATTTAAATTTAAATTTAAATGCTTAAATTTCCCAGACGATGTATTTGCCCGAAGGCATCTGAGTGCTGAAGGTAGGACTGAGATGGAATTTAGGTATTAAAACTGGAGCCAAGCTTCCTCATACTGCTCGCTTAGTTACAGCTGACCTTGGAGGTGACTAATCTCCATAGATGCTACAGTTTTTATGCTTAAATTTCCCAGATGATGTATTTGCCCAAAGGCATCTCAGGCTTCATCTGACTGACTCGCTCCTCTTATGCCCGAGCCCCTCAGGTCTTGGAGCATGTTTGCTAAGTCAACCTCCACACAAAACTTCAGCCGTAACTGGTGCTTTCTCCTCAAAGACTTGGTTATTTTTCATTTTAATATAAAAATCTCAGTGGTTAAAACATCCTCAAGGTGAAGGACCTGGTTTGCTTTCCTTCATGCAACAAAGACTTCAGCTCTCCTCTACTTGTCAGGTAAACAGCCCACAGTCCAGGGGGACATGGAAGGAAAGAAAACACAGTCTGTCCCTTCTGTTGAAGCTGCTCCACTTTGTAGTCTGAAAGAATTAAAAATGCATTAGATCAGAGAGAGGGAATTAGTCTGTAACCTCGTGGTTATGGCACTCAGTTGGGAAGGACAAAAGATGGCTTTGTGTGTCTGTATTACGGACCATTTATGTGTGTTATATCCATAAATCCAGAA